CAGCAAAGACCAGCCACACAGCCCACATCGAGGCGAACCACTCTCATTCCTTTTGTATTCCATTAGTGAGAAGTAAGTTCCACTCGTATAGCTTTTTTCAGAAATGCTTTATCGACTATATTTATCTTAACCTATTCATGTCTAGGGTCAATCGTTCTTTCCTACATATTGTCATAAAATGCGCCTCTTACCTGAAGCCACAAGTTGTTTCAGTAACCTTCTACTTCGAGTGGCTCTTGAGCCTTGTATAAAGTGAAAATTAGTAAAATAAATATAGTCTGTTTGAAGTCAGTAGAAATGAGATGAAAATTCTATCATCAAATAATATTGCTTTTCTGCTGTTATTCGACCAAACATTTTATAGTTTTGCTTTCTCTGAATAAATCAGTGTTGCGTTCGGTCATTCTTGTACAGTGTTTATAATTTTCAATTGATTTATATCTAATATTGGAATGCACTGCAGAGATTTAATTAAAATCCTTGGTAATGGAAAGTTTTGATTTGGGATCGATTAACTATGGCTTTTGGCTGTGCTTCCTTTTCGTTACGGGAAGATTTACGAAGCGATTATAAATGTCTTTTCCATATTGTGTAACAACGATCAAAATGTAAAGTCCAAATGTGGTGAATCAAAACCAATGTTTTGATTCACCACATTTCTGAAAAGGAGGTTTGTTTGTATGAATGGGAATTGGCATTGTATTCGAAAAAACCACGAACAATATTGTGAAAAGTACCCCCTCCAAAAAAAAAACAAAAACAAAACAAAAAAAACAAACAAAACAATTATCTCTGTCTCCATTCGGCCAGGTCTTTTGAAGGATGAATGGTATATGATAAAGAACCCTTTCTATATATTCTACTTATAAATACGGGAAAAAGCAAGAATCACCGAGATCAATAATGTTAGTCAATTTTAATGATTTAAAATTGAGAATTTCTCAAAAGTTTAATTTTCTAATGGATCAGATATTGGAATAATATTATTTTACGAAAGCAATGTTTTAAATATTGAAAAAGGAAAATCGAGATAGCTGACAATGATTATTTATAGGAAACAAGGAAATAAGATATCGAATAGCCTGCGTGAAAGATAGTTTTGCCCAATAAAAAAACAACAAACTTTAACCTAAAAACTCAAGTCATATTCTTAAATAGCTTCGTTAGATGGATGTCATACATGATGCCAAATCCGTTCAGAAATATCTAAACTGTCAGCTTTCGTAAATCAATGGTTAAAACAGCTTTGAGTGAGTGAAACCTGTGGGTCTTGACGAAGGCAATCCTTCTTCGAACCTTGTGGACTGGCGCTACATAATCACAAAGAACTGCACCAAATAACAAAAACAAAATCACTTGAAGACTACAAAAAGTTGCAGCAACTCGAATAGAAAATAATGACATAATCAAGATGTTGACACTCCATATTACTTCAGATAAAAGGTTAGGAAGGAAACCTCCATCAACACTGGAAAGAGAGATAAAAGCTATTGTACTATTTTCCAGAAAAATTGTTTTCCATAAAAGGAAACGGCTAACATTACCATTTAAAACATGTTGAAATCTTTTCCTTTCTGACAACGTCTTGATTTCATTATTTATAATTATGAATTCAGAAATGTAAAAAATCTTTGCATTTGCAATTGAGTTACACAAGCTAGTGAATAGGTACAATAAAGTACCAAAAGTCATGGTATGGTATCCTCTATGGCGCGTTTGAACCTGCGAAACACCGTAATTCGACTTAGTTCCACAAGCAGTCGGAAGACTTTTGAACTGAATCTGAGTCGTACCATCTCGATGACTCTCCACCGCTCTTTGATATTTACAGATGAAGGATCTTGCACTGCATCCCAATATAGGAAAATGATAAAAGAAAGTAAAAAAAACAACAGATAAATGTTAAAAACGCACACAAAAAATCCTATTACAACATTGCTTCAAAGTGCTGACCATTTGTTTTAATGCACTTTATATTATAAAATTTTGTTTTACAGATTGGTCTACTTCTTTATATATTCCTGAAGGTTTAGAAGAAATAAAAGGAAATCCAATTAACGATTGAATAAGGATTCTGTGATGCACAATATTATTAGCTTCCCTATTCCTTCTGTCCTAACCAGATTTTTTGCGATGATTTTCAATTTGGTTTTGTAATGGATATTAAATTAGAAGAATCCAGCTAACCAGCTGTAGGGAAATTATTTGAATTTATTGCTTTGTTCAATGGGACCAAAATATCAAAATAGTTTCAAAGACTGAGATACAGAGTGTGTCGACTAAACTTCTCTTCATGTTGTTCTTGTTTTTTATCCATTCAATTTGAATTAAGAACTAAGAAGTTAGAAATAAATTTGGAAAGAGCCGATGACAAAAAAAAAAAAAAAGATTGTTCTCGTTGTTCTGTCCGAGGGAAATCTCGTCTTGTATTTATTTAGTAGCACTCTTGTCATTTCTCGCCCTGTTTCAACTGAATATAGACATAAACTTAAAGTACGTGAAGAAGTCCGTAGAACACAATAGTTGAAACGTTGTGATTACAGCAAAAATGAGGGTATTAGTCCGAATATAAATAATGTAAATCATTTATACATGTTTCCAGTATAGGAATACATTCTCGGCGATACATATATATATATATATATATATATATATATATATATATATATATATATATATATATATATATATATGCTTATATAGTTGGCGAGAAAGACTTTTGATGCTTACTGGATTTATTTCTATCGAACAGACTTCTAATTACATAAAATAATTCTTGCTCGTCGCTCTTCACTTCATAGATAAGGGAATTTTTTGCCAAAAGCGAACAGCATAACAATGGTGGATAAGAAAATAAACGAAAAAAAAGAATTATCAAAGAATAAACAAATATAACTTCTTGTAATGTTTCCGGTAATTGTCCAGGTAAATGATAAGATAGGAAAGACGGGGACGTAAATCTCTTTGGCAAGAATTCACGCGGAGATCTTCGATTTGGAGGATTTAGTCTTAAAGTTAAAATATCCAGTTATTGCTTTCTTCATTGGCGTTGATTAGCGTAAGTTTTCTTGTTGAGTATCGTACAATGAAAACAGAAAGATGTTGATGATGGAAGCCTTCGATTTAGATAAGTTATCAAGAAAGTTCCTATCCTTTGGAGATATTTAGATGTTTCTGTCTAGACATCTATGTTTGCGTTCATTTATTTAAAAAAAACAAAAACTAAAAAACAATGATGCTCATTCCTACAAATCACCTTTATTTTTGCTTCTACTCATGGGGCATCTGTTCTAAGCTCGAATTATCGAGGCTTTTCTTTAATTAAGCCTTACTCTCTATAAAGAAATGATGCACTGTATGGAAATCCTTGTCTTTCTATCGTTTTTTTCCATGATTGGGTAACTGATACCAAGATATATACGTATATCCAAAACTGGACACATTTCTTTCTAGTATATTTGTATTTCTAAACTTGATCCCTACAAGGTTTGCGGATTTGACGGTATCCCTACAATTGTCCTAAAGTAATGTGCTTCTGAAATGACGCCTGATATCTCCAAACTTTACCTCGCTACTTCTTGCTTTGCACCTTCTCCTCTGTTGTCTCTAAAACCTCTGCGGGAACCTTCTGACCACTCGAATTATCGCCCTCTTTTTGATAAAGTACTAGACACTGAATTTCCTAAGCACATCACTTTACACGACCAACATTCTGATAAACAATATGGCTTCCGTTTCTCTAGATCAACCACCAATATGTTAACGGATATCACTGAATTTGTCTATCAGGCTTTAGATAATAACGGCTTCAGATTTCTCGAAAGTCGTTCGACAGGGTTTCGTATGCTGCCTAAATCTCCGTGCCACTGAACGAATAATTGGCTTAATCCAATCATTCCAAACAAATCATTTAATGAAGGTTGTGTTGAACGGACACGCTTCCAGATCATTTCACATTAATGCGGGGTTCCGCCAGGTCTCTATCCTTGGACATATATTGTTTCTTATCTTCATCAACGACAGTACCGATATCAGCACTTCCCAACTAGCTATTTATTTTGATAACACAAGTATTTATTCCTGTCTTAGTAGCAAGTTCGACATATCCGACAAAGTAAAACTGGCCACTACTCACGAAAAGGATGTGCAATTAGCAAGAATTGGTTTGTAAATTTTAACGCCTCCAAAACAAAAATGTTTACACTTAATCATCACAGAAAACTTATTCTTCCTGCCATCATCATAGCCGATACTAACCTCTAAAAAGGCAACTCTTTGTGCCATCTTGGGCTCACATTTTCCACTTAAATGAAGTGGAGCGATTTTATTGAATCAATTACCAGGTCTCTACTGCTAGAAGAGTTGCTTTAATGTGTCGTGACAGACAATATTTCTCATTAGAATCCATCTTGAACATTTATAAATTTACCATTCGTCCGTGCATTGAATATTACTGCCATATCTGTTCTATTATATAACTCGAGTTTCTTGACAAAATTCAAAAAACTTCTGCAATGTAATCGACCCTAACCTGGCATCACGGCTGACGTGACTTCTACAAAAATTTTCATAGAAATTCCTTTGAAGATATTTCCTTCTTGGTGTCTCGACTGCATGAATTTAAGCGTGCTACTAGATTAGTAACTCGGTATTACCGTTTTACTGTTGAACAAGCTAGATATGACCGCATGCAAGGTGATAATACCACTAGGATACAAAAGGTTACTGAGAGTGGAAGAGGATGATTTGGGTTTGTTAATTGTTTTTGTTTAAAGATATGGCAAAATCTAAATGTTTTGTAAGCATTTTTTAGATAATAACGGATTAGTGATACAAGTTTTACTAATTAATCCATAGCTGGGGGGAGAGTATGTGGATTCATACTTTTCCCAAGGGTATTTGCGCGTAAAGTGAACATAAAGAACTCAAATGGAATTTAAACTCTGCTCTCAGATGAACAATTCCGAGCCATTATCCATTACACCACCCGCAAATCCAAGCTTACAGTACCTGGTCTTCCCAAGTGGTCATCTGTCGAGTACTGACTAGGCCCTACATTGCTTAATTTCGGGGATCGAGAGCCGGTGTTTCAACGTGATGTGGCCGTGAGAGAATGAGAAGACTTTAGTGGAGAGAAAGGAAAATAGAAGAATAGGATTCAGCAAGACAAACCATTGCGATTGTCATTGCATTTAAGTTTTTGAAGATTGTAGTTGGTAGAGAAGCAATAAATACAGGCGAGATGTAGAATTTAGTTTTCAGCATGTCAAAGCGAAAAACAAAAGCAATCAACCAACCCAAACCATTCTCTTTCACCATTTGTATTCTAGTGACATTATCACCTTGCCTTGAAATGATAAAAACAAAAACGCATATATGCATAAATGTCATATTAGGTAACATCTGGCATGTTATGTTTGAATGCACATATTGAGTAACGTAAAAGGTTTGATAAGTTCTGTAAGTAAAAATGAGGCATTTTTAAATTTTTTACATTTTTTCTCATTAACTTTATTGCACAATATATTTATGTAATATCTTTTTCCATCTCTCAGGAGATTTCATAATTTGATTCCCTTCGTAATCTCCTACAACTGTTTTCAGATATATTTAGAAGTTTTCCAGAGAAATTAATTCTTTTTATTAAGATAATTTTAAAAAGACAAGAATAAATATTAATCATTAAATATTTTCATAAGGATATACAATTTTATTATGGCTACTAAAATACTAAAACAGACATTTTATGGAAGAGCGCGAAAAAAGAAAAGATAAAAGAAGCCGAAAAGAAAAGAGACAAAAAGTTGACTGATTTTTTTTAAGCATTTCACCCCAAGCAAGGCGGGATACCACTAGTATGCAAGGGTTTACAGAGTGGGAATGAGAGTAAAGAGGTGTGATGGCGGAAAGGATGAAGAGAAGGGCAGGGGATAGTTCAGGACATCTGCAGATATCGATGGACATTACATTTTAATAGTTGGAGATTATAGCTATCATGAAAACAAGTAATAGGAAGGGAATTCCACAGACGGGAGGTGCGAGACATGAAGCTATTGGAGTAGAAGAGACGGCCATATTTAACCATTTCGACAGTGAAAGGGTGTGACCGTGATGCCAGCCTAGTAGCACGCTTAAATTCATACAGTCTAGGAACTAGCAAATGTAGCTCGTCGGAGCTGTTACCATGAAAGTATTTGTAGAAAAGACAGAGGGAGGCGACGGCACATCTGTGAGAGAGCGACTGAAAACGAGATGCCAGATTAGAACCAACTACATTGCTTATCCGTTTTTGGATCTTGTCGAGGACCTTAAAGCGAACAGCGGGACACCAGACCATATATGGCAGCAGTATTCCATATAAGGGCGAATGGTTGATTTGAAGGATGGACTCAGCCGAGAAAAACTTTTTGGCGCGACACAGGGAATCAGCTTTCTTTGCGGTGGATGTAGCTATTGATTCAATGTAATTGTTCCATCTCAGGTTAGCGGACAGCAGTCGTAAAGAGGTGCTCTCGTCGTATTGAGCATCAGACGTTCAATGGGCGGCAGGGATGGTTCCTTGTGGTGAGTAATAGAGAGCAGTTTTGTTTTAGGGGCATTAATGTTAACCAGCCAATTCTTGCCCCAGGACCAATTGGAGGTCCTTTTCGAGACTAACAGCCAGCATAGTTTTGTCAGTGATACCAGATTTGCTATTGAAGCAGGAGTAAATAGTAGTGCCGTCAGCATAGATGCCTACTTGGGAACTAATGACATCGGTGTGTGTGTGGGGGGGTCGTTAATGAAGATAAGGAACAGAGTAGGGCCTAGGATAGAGCCTTGGGGAACACCTGCGTTCGTGGGAAAAGAACCGGACACGGTTTGACAGGAATTATCGTATTACTTTCTTCTTTTTTCAGAGCTCGATCGAAGAAAGAAAGCAAATGGGTCCAAGGACTAAAATAAGGAAAATATAAGGATATACATATATATTGATCATCTTCGAAATAAATAAGTAGTACATTCTGTCTGTCCGCCCGTTTGTCTGAAACCCCTCTAACTCGGGCAACACTATTTTACTACATAGACATTTTACACCTTTTTGGAATCAGGATGATCCTGAGAATGAAAAACTGTCCTTCATCTGGTGCTTGCGCATCCATCATTGGGATTTGTGTCCGGATGAGGAGAGAATAGTTAAATATTCAAATTTTAAAATAAATAAGAAAAATAGTGATTTTAAAAGTTTTTAATTTATATTGAGTTTAAAGTGACACAAAATTTCATTTTTGTTTTAAATTCAGTTTAAAATATCATCAAAGCTTTGTGAATTAAGAAAATCAATTTTATTTCTTCAGAATCCCAAGGAATCAAAGTGTGACGTTTCGTGATGTAAGGTTTTGAAGTTCTGCTGAGTTTGTGATTTGAAGAACTCAATTTTCAGCCTGAAGTGGAATTTCGGCCCAAATCGGTCTTTTGACTGGAATTGGACTTATAGTCCAAATCAGGGATAAAGTGAAGTTTTGAATTTACATGGAGTGAATTGTGGAATTCATTATTATTTCTTCTAAATTATCATTGCTGATTTCTAACTTCGATCAGTGGTCTCTTTATGTTTGGACTGGCGACCCTCCACGGGAGCTAGTTTATAAGTTAGCATGGAGTGCGTTTTTTTAAGCTAGTATGGCATTATATGCATATAAATCATAAACAAATCACCATGAGACCCAACGGCCGCTGTTTACAAAGAAAAGGCCGTCACGATTTAATACATATGTTCTCTAAAACTTTCTAAACCATATAGATATATATTAAGTGTTGCATATGAATTTAGGAATGTAAAATTTATTCCAACAGATAAACACTAAAGTGACAATTTATTAGATTCAACAAGAAAAGTATTTGCAGTTTATCCCCCTATATTAAGTTTTTGAGGTAAAAAAAGCAAACTTATCTCAATTCGCAACCCAGTATGGAATCTACAAAAAAAGAAAGAAAAAAAACGGTAAGTAAATCTTCAAATGATTTTTATCTGTATATTTTTTAGAAACCAATTCCATGAAATAGGAAATATCGAGTGAATTTGAAAATAGCATCAACTGATGTATTTTCCTTCTTTATTTTATATAATTCTACCAATTCTGCATATAATTCTTGTAATTCTGTATAATTATAGATGCAATGTGTTTTTATAAATTGTAAAATACCATAATTATTCGTTCATTTCGATAATTACTAAATCCTCTAGCCATTTTCGTCAACAAAACATTGTCCTTCAAGTAATAAGTGTTTATGAGTTCATAATGTCACATTGCTATGTATCACTTTAAAGTCCTCATGAATCTTAGAGTCTATTTTACACTATAGTGAACAATGGCTTTCAACCAAAGCCACTGAGTTGTAGGATTTTTTGCAGCATTATCCAGTGGAGTTTGCATTTGAGTTTTAAGTAAGCTGCACTTTTCTGTTTCATAGACAGTAAACGAGCTTTCCATATACCTAGGATTGTTGGCTCACACTGACATACAACATGTAAAAGTAGACTAATTCCTCTATTTACACAACTGAAAATTCATTTCGTATATTACGGTTTTTCATTTGCGAAAATCACAAAAAGATTCTTCTGGGCGTCTTGGATGGTAACATTCGTTGCCTCATGACACAGAAATAAAGAGGTTGATGGATTTCCATGGCAAAGAAATGTAGGTTGATGGATTTCCGTTGCAAAGTACTGCGAGAACTGTTATCTTCCGTTTCAAATTTCTCTTCACGTGTTTTTAGTCTTAAACATTGTGCACATAAAACTCTGATTAATTTGTTGTTACGAGGCCATTTACTTTTTGGTGTATGCTCAAAATAACAAACCAATATTTACTGAAAACTGCACTTGTTCATTAACCTCTTGCAACTTCTCAATGTACCTGTTGTCTCCAAAACGTTCGATTTGATTCTGTTGAAGTGCTAGTGATCCGGATGAAATTTTTTTTCTGATTGTCGTTAGCTTTCGATTTTGGCAGAAACACTTTCTTCTTGATTGCAATTAAAACGCATTCTCTGATTACATGTTTTCACACATCGAGGAAATCAAATTATTATCATTTCCAGTTTTCCTGATTTGCTGTTTCATAAAACCTTTTATCTCTCGGAAGGGATTGGCTCAAGACACGTCACATGATGAGCACAGCAAGAAGACGTTCTTATCTGGGACTTGTGTGCCGACGTGAAGAAGAAGAAGAAGAAGAAGGTCCTTTTCTTATTGGGACTTGAAAGTTATTGTTATGGGAACTTACCTATAACGATAATGGACTCTTCCTGACGCTATAAATACTGCGCCTCTCAAGAGGTATAAGGGTTGAATGGTGTAACGAGTCGAGACAATATTAGTTCACTCTAAACCAGACGGACAGTCATTACTAACAACTTCAACTTGTACTATATTTCTGTTGTAATATATCTTTGTTATTCTACTCTTGTGTTAGTGTTGTTCTTCCTTGGTTCTAACCTTGGACCATAACTGTGGTGAGAGGATATTCGACCATAACAGTGGTGACGAGGAACTGAAGAAACGAATTCTACGCGGAGGACAATTTTTTTTTTTTTGCTATCCGTCGGCCATAACAGTGGCGACAAAAAACTGAAGAAACAAACTCTACGCGGAGAACCTAAAAAAAAAGTATACCCAAGAAACAAGTTCTACGCGGAGAATCTACAAAAAACCTTTTGCTATCGGTCGTTCATAACAGAGGCGACGTAGGTAGTGAGAACACCCCACACTCACCAAAAAAAAAAAAAAAAAAAAAATCAAGTTCTACACAATCATAATAAAAAGAAAAGAGAAAATTTTCTTTTTAGACAGCAACATTACAGTAGTAACAAAGATACAAGATCTACACAGGAATTTTTTTCCGTACTAAGGTTTCAGAATAACAGACAACAAAGACCTGAAGTCTAAACTAAAAGAAAAATACTTACACATAATTACGCTAAATATGGAAGATTTTAAGGCAACCATATTGGAACTTATGAAAATACAATTTGAGAATCAACAGAAAAACGAACAGAAGCATCTGGAACTACAAGAATTATTGCTACGGGTAATAACAAATAAAGGGCAAAATTCCGAAAATG